ATTCACACTATCTCAGTTGCTGAGTTCATAAGCCCCCACGAGTGTACACTTTCAGTTTTATAGTGGGTAATATTATCCCAAAAAGTGTAAAGTGTACCCACTCAGCTACTGAGCTATGTTCTGCAATTGCAGGCAGTTCAACAGCTCAAGCACGCGAAGTGTGTCCTCCGAGACAACGCATGTAAATACGGCGACGGCGATGACAACAAGACCTGCGTCTGGGGGCTACGGGCTTGGGCTACATGAAGTCTTGGCTCAGCAGACCAATGCCGGCCGAACAGGAGGCTTCCCGAGAATGGCGGTCTCAGTCTGCAGAAAGTCTGCTTCTAGCCAGCAATACTATGATTGAAGCAGCGTTCCAGGATTCCTGACCTCAAAAAACATATAGCCATAATCATAAAGGCAAGATACCTTTGAATCTTTACACTGCTTCAAACTTGTGAGTGTCTGCCTCTCCCGGAACATCCCCACCCGAGGCGGATAGCCCGGCGCGTCCATGGCATGAAGGCACAAGTCTCTCCAAGCCCAGTAACCGTATCGTAGGTTACTGTCCCTATGCAGGCATATATCCACCATTTATGCAAGTGGGCTTCTAGAGCTGGGGGAGTTGTTTAGCCTCCGGCATTGTTCGGCTATCCTCGCTTTGGATTCAGAGGAAACATATCCGTCGCATAGGCCGGACTGTGCAGGTTTGAGATTGCACGAGTCATGTGTGCTCGCTTAGGCTGCCAGACACTGCTTTGCAAACAAGAGGCCATGCCGAGACAGCCGGGAAACCCGAGTATGCGCATACACTTTCAATGAAAAGTGTCCGCCGCTGTGCAGCTTTCTGTAGGGGTTTGTCTAACAGCTCAATGGACTGTTTATCTTCGGGCTTGGTTGTAGTTCTGGGCATCGAAGTTCATGCCGTCGCTGGTTGCGTGGATACATCTGCATGCTTGCCTGAAGTAGCAGCGAGCTCACAGCAAACGCATACATTCCACAACGGCTGCGCCGGTATGTAACATTGCACCAGTTCAACACTAGCACCATAGCCGCACCCAGCATCCGACTATGGAAACCAGCTGCCTAACACCGTTGGATGAGGTCTTCGACACTTGAATTCGAACACTTCGATTTGTAGGCCAGGTTGCTCAAGCTCACTTCTAGCTAACATGACTAGCCTCTAGTCCGAGTGGAAGAAGTCAACAGAGTTGGATAACTGAGGTGTTGATCACGCATATGCAAGTCCGTCACTGCATGCCCGCACGAATAATATGCCTGACAAGGCCGGGAATGTTCATCGATTTCCCCTCCCAAACAGCCATGCAATGCTCGCGTTAAAGCCCTCGCCACATCTCAAGCCCCGGAGGCCCTGGAATGCCCATTCTGGTGGTAATTATCCTTAACTGCTTCAGTTTGGCAGTGACACCCCAAAAGTGCCCTAAATCCTCGTGTGAACTTCGAGACATCACCAAAGGCTGAGCCACAAGCTGCCAGCGTGCCTCAGACTGCCCAGCAATGCAGCTTCTTATACCTTACCTTTGGTTAGTAGGGAATGCAGGAATGGGGTACAATTACAACAACTACTACTACCATTCTTCCATTCCCTACTATAACCAAGGGTAAGATGATCGCTGAATGCAAACATACTCGCTGAGCGCTTACCTTTCGGGAGAATGCAGGATCTGTTGGATGTGGGTGCCGTTAGGGTGGCTTGGACGCTCACACTCACTGGGACTCTTGAGGCGACGCAGCTAGAAGCCTTGGATACACCAAGCAAAGAACTTTGGCTGCAAGGGGTGCAGCTACGGTAGGTGAAGGTGGGGCTTGCCATAATTTGTCTAAGAACCGCTTTCTTTCGCATCCTGATCCAGCGCAGTGGCATGGCCCCTGTGGTATTTGAATCTTGTGTCGCCACGGCTGGGTGCTCTGCACCGTACGTCTGCTCAACGATCTTCAGGCTGCGCTCCAGAAGTTCTTTCTGTTTCTGGTCTCTGTATGCAATGCTGAGGCTGCTCAGAGTCATAGCCATTGCCAAATGCTCTGCACCATAGTTCTGCTCAGTAATCTTCAGACTGCGCTCCAAGAGCGCGTTCTGCTTCTGGTACCCCCCGAGACGCCTGTATGCATTGTCCAGGCTGGCCAGGGTCGTAGCCACTCTGCACCATAGTGCTGCTCTTTGATCTTCAGAGTGTACTGCAAAAGCTCCTTCTGCTTCTGGTATAGTAATCCCCGAGGGCACCGGTAGCGTTGCCCAGGTTGTTCAGAGTCCTAGCCACTTCGGGGTGCTCTGTGCCGTAGTGCTTCTCATCGACCTGCGGGCCGCGCTCCAGAAGTTCCTCCCCGAGGTCCCCGATTGTGTTGGCCAGGCCGTTCAGAGTCACAGCCACTGCCCGGGTGCTGTCAAGGTGTATCAATATCACGGTTTAGAGGGAACTCCAGAAAGTTGGAATATGGTTTCAGGGTAGGATACCTTATAATTTACCATAAAGGGCTTAGGATAATCATATTCCAACTTTCTGGCTTCTACGGTAGAAGCTTAAGGAATACAGATCTGGGGCCCTTGAGTCTTGATTAGCATCAGGGCAGATGCGGTTTGCGATTTCTGGGGCAATCAAGAGGATTCTAAGATCCTAGAAACCCACTCATTGACTGATGCAGGGTTCAGGATACTTGATTGTCTTGCTGAGTGCCGAGCTGGGCCGCATCATTGGTGGCGTTGCTGCAACCGGCCTGCCGTCATCATCATCATCATCATCATGGTCATCCTCATGTGTACACATATGTATATAGACATTCTATATATATATATATATATATATACACATGCATTTACATGCATATTTCGTTTAACTAACTTGACCTACCTGCGTATCTATCTACTCGATCTCTTCTTCTACCTCTCTCTCCCTCTCTATCTATTTGCATGTCTTGCCTTGCCTTGCCGTGTCTGATCTGTTTCTGTCTGTCTGTGACTGCGTCCGTCGGTCTGGGTGCCTGTCTATCTGTCTGTATATCGTGGAACTATCCATCTGTCTACAAGCTTGGTGCCTAAACTCTGAGTTTAGGCCGCAGCAGCCGATACCTAAGCTGCCGTATTCGGCCTCTAATGTCTAACTGAGCCTTCTGAAGATAGCTACCAGGATGCACCTTTTCGGCTAAATCCTGAACCTGTATATAATCTGAGATCCCCTGATCTCAAGCAAGAAAAAATCAACAAGCCGAGGCGTACCGGCAGGGTGACACAGATCTGGGTGGCGATGTGGCCTGCACCCCGCAGAATTTGTGTAAACAAAATCGATAATTTGAGAACTTAAGCATTAAACCACTAAAGTGCGTCAATTCTAGATATGCATCTGTACAACGTGCACCTATGTTTGCTGCTCCTTTCCGTCAGCCCTTTTCACTGCGTGCAAGAAGAGTTTTTTTGATCATCTGCACCAATGCACTTAACACATCGAAGCCCCAACCAGACCCTAAGGACCCTGAAAAAGGCTCAGGGCGGCACTTGCCGCACCTCGCAGAAACCCAGAGGCCTGCCGGTGCAGGAGGCAGAGAAACAAACAGAGCTTAGAAGCTGCCCCCACCCTGTAATAGTGACTATAGGGATTATATTAGGGCCCTATTCTAATTCTATTATACCACTATTACAGGGTGCGGTGTGGGCCCCTTCTAATGCAGAGCTTTGAACGTGGCACCTTTGAGCTCATGGCGTTGCTGCCGCGGTTAATATTTCAACACAACTACAAGTAACAGCCGCGATTTCCATTACTCTTGTGCCTAAGACTTCCATCTTGCCATGGTTTATGTTCTTGATGATGTAGGTCATGTTGCCACTTCAGCTATCATCGGTTGTTCGACCGTCTACACCAAAGCCAGCAAATATGCCGCAACGAACTTGAGTTCATGTCTCTCCCATCTCTCATCTCTTGGACATTGTCAATCTCAAGCCTCCGTCGATACTGAAGGACTGGCGAGTGTGCCGTTGTGATTTGCAAAAGCAACATTACCGTTGCTTTCGTTGCATAACTCACTTTGTTCCATGCTGCAGATTACATGATCGCTCTGTGGCTGGTTATTTGTCCTTGGTTTCTTAACACGCTGTATATAGTGGATCTCGTGGCCCCAATCACAATGGTTGACACACAGTGCAACTTATCATGCAGACTGCTGAATATGAAAGCCGTGCCTTTCTCGTACACATCAGGCCCCGAACTTATCCAACGGCTGTTCAACGGCGGCACCTGCAGGGGGACACGCTTCCGCCCGCTGCAACCGCCACCTGCTTGCAGCAGGACGTCGAGACGCCGCAAACGGGCTTGCTTCGAGCTTCGAGCATAAATGGGCACACTCACTGTTTCTATATCAAGGCTCCCACTACTGAACTGCAACAGACAGGTTTCAGCAAGAAGGGTTCTGAAATTGCAGCTGCCACCGCATGCCACTCTCCGCAGCACAACGCAGACTGTAGAAGCGACGGTATTCAAGACTTGCAGCCGGGTGGAACACGGCATGCAAGTGCACAACAGTCGGCTCCGAACCCGACCAACCCAAGAGCTGCTATCGTCAGCGAGAGACTCGATTTTCAGAGACAGGCAGCTCTTCTGCTTTCAGGCTAGGAACACTCTGTGCCATGTCTGCTATGTGTGCTGTGCTGCTTCACTTCGGCCGGCTACACTGCTCGGTTGAAAGTGTCGATCAAGCGGCGCACTGAGTTCTGACGCCCCCTAATAGATGTGACCTGAAGATGCTAACCCACCTGTTTTGGGACGGTCAAGCTTTATCCATGCGTGCATCTGCACAAATAGTCCATCGCCTCAACCATTGAGAGTGTGTATGAACTTCTGCATATCTCTATGTATGCATATGTACATAACTGCCACAAATTCTGGGCTTCAGGAATCTGCGATGTTCGGAGGGCTAAACCCCTATAGATCCCTTATAAGGCCCTCTAAGGAGCCCTTTAAAGGAACCCTTAGGGGTTCCTTTACTTAAGGGAACCTAGGAGGCATAAGCTCTCACCATTGACCACGGAGCTCCTGGACTTTCCTTGGCGGAGGGCAGAGTTTCGAGCTGCTGCAAGACTATAATAAACACACTTGTACAATCGTATTAATTACTTTATTGTATTATTCTGAAGTAGTATTAGTATGTTTTTTTCTCCGCATGATGGCATAATGCAAGTATACTAGTAATAACAGTAGCAGGAGTAGTAGTAAGGAGAAATTACCATTATTAATATACTTCGGACCATGCAGACGCACATTACAGGAATTTCACGACGGCAGTGGCCATTAAGTTGTTCATGAACCCCGGATTCGGTTTCGGATGCGATGACTCGTGGTTTCGGACCACCAGTCCAGTGGCTGCAAGCCAGCGGCCCAAGCCCTAGCTGAACAGAACTGGTCCCAGCGACTGCCAAACAGCAGCTGGGGGCGGCTTGGTCCTCGCGCTGAGCGGCTACATGTAATTGGGTCGTGCACGTTTGCAGCTAGCTGGTGGCGTCCTGGTCCCTCCACTACGGGGCCACTGGTGGTCGGGAGAAGCTTGACGGTTTGCAGTTTCGCGTCGTGCGACAGTGTGGCCATCTGTGAAACCGCAAACCAAACGCGTCTCGCTGCATTTCTGCCAGTATGTATTCGCTGCATTTCTGCCAGTATGTATACATATATATATATATATATATATATATATATATATATATGGTCACCCCCCCCCCCATGACAGACCATCCCCTTTAAAACATCGCTCCCACCGGCGTGTTCGTGCTTTTTCCGGAGTATCGAGTTTGAGCCCTCCGAACGTATCCCTGGAACCACCAAAAGACTGAGACCAGAAAGCAGCACGATAAGGCGCGCGGGTGTCCTACCAAGAAAGGAATTACAGAGCACACGTGTATGGATGAGGGTTGTGCTGACACACTACATAGTAAGCACTACACAGTAATCTTACTTGAGTCATATATAGAGCAGATTCCAGCATTTCCAAAATTCCAAAATTTCCAAAATTCTCTCCCCTAACTTTCCAGATTTCCAAAATTTCCAAAATTTCCAAAATTTCCAAAATTTCTAAAATTTCCAAATTTTCCAAAATTTCCAAAATTTCTAAAATTTCCAAATTTTCCAAAATTTCCAAAATTTCCAAAATTTCCAAAATTTCCAAAATTTCCAAAATTTCCGAAATTTCCAAAAAGTCCGCCCTTATGTTTTGGAAAAATCCTGTCGACTAGGTCGGGAAATTTTGGAAATTTTGGAAATTTTGGAAATTTTGGAAATTTTAGAAATTTTAGAAATTTTAGAAATTTTGGAAATTTTGGAAATTTTGGAAATTTTGGAAAATTTGGAACTTTTGGAAATTTTGGAAATTTTGGAAATTTTGGAAATCCGGAAAGTTAGGGGAGAGAATTTTGGAAATTTTGGAAATGCTGGAATCTGCTCTATATATGACTCAAGTAAGATTACTGTGTAGTGCTTTTAACACTAACGTTGACATGTATATTAATGCTTTCATTTCGAATATGCACATTACTAATTCTATTATTAACATTAATACTCCTACGCCTACCAATAGTCATATTCATATTGATATTAATGCCAATACTAACAGACACCTGCGTATATTAATGTCCGCAGATATACATACCACTATCTGAAAAGCAAATATATCAATGCATTCGTGTACTAACGTAGTATATTCGTATTTAATTTGTCATATACCCAGTTTCCAACGTGACAATATACTACTTGTTAACGTCTGATTATACTGTATTGATATGCTAACTTGCTAAGACACGAATACTGTAATATGCAAGTACACTGACACATGGCAATGGTATACTAACATATGGATATACCAAAAAAGTTGTTAGATAATATACGAATATGATAAATGAAGTAGCATACCAGGATACTCATACACTAATATGTTAATAATCGAAGATAATAGCACACCAATATACTAATGTACTCATGCACGAACGTACGCATGCATTAATATACTAAGAGCATACAAACATGCAGGTATACAAACATATTACTGTTCGAATACATTATAATGTGTTGGTATACTAAGCTGTTTATATAATCTATCAGTATACTAATATATCAAAACTAATTATAGTATTGATACGCATACTAGCACGTCCGCGAATATTACACTGATGTTAAATTCATCATTAAGACTGATTAAAACTGACATCGACATTGGCACTGGCATCAACACTAATTATCACTAAATATGCTAGTGTACTAATATACGAATACTGTAAAAGGCAAGTACACTGACATGTTCACATGCCATTATGCCAACATATTGATATACCTATAAGCTATTAGGGAAAATACGAATATAGTAAATGTAGTAATAGACCACTATAATAATATACTAATATACTACTACGTTAACATACGAATATCATGATACACCAATATACTAATGTACTCATGCACCAACGTACTAATATATTCGCGCAATCTTCAACTCTGCAAATATACTATTGTTCGAATACATTACTGTATTATTATATTAAGCTCAAAATGTACGAATCAATCAGTATATTCACATATCAAAACTATTTCTATTACTGATACTAGTACCAGCACTTCTGTGAATAATAAACAGATACTAAAACCAGCATTCAGACTGATACTAATACTAACACGAGTACTATTACTGACATTGACATCGACACTGGCACTAACACCAGCACGAACATAATCACGAGTTCATATTTACTATTATTGATATGTATACTTTTATTCAATACTAATACTAATACTGATGCTAATACTAATACTAAATACCAATAACAATACTAGTACTAAAGCAATACCCATCCTAATATCAATACTACCACAAAACTATTACTCATATGAACACTGATACCAGGATTAGGACTACTACAAACAATGACAGCAGTACTAAGAATAGAACCAAAAACAATACATATTAATCCTAACACTAATACTAGTACTAATACTAGCTACTAATTCTAATACTCATACTCATACCAATACTAATGTCACCACTACTGCTGCTACTACTACTGCTACTACTACGACTACTACTACTACTACTACTACTACTACTACTACTACTACTAGTACACATACTTAATACTAAAACTAATACTGATACTCATACTAGTCACTAATACTAATACTAATACTCATTCTAATACTAATACAAATACCAATACTAATGCTACCACTACTACTGCTGTGCGACAACTATTGCTAGTACGACGACTACTACTATTAACATCAATACACATACTTAATGCTAATACTAAGAGTAATACTAATTCGAATACTATTACTCATACTAAACATCCTAATATCAATACTACCACAAAACTAATACTAATGCTAACACTGATACAAGAATTAAGATCTACAAACAGTAATAGTGGTACGAAGAGCAGAATTGAGATTAAGATTGGGACTAGGAGCGCTGCATGCGTGTGAAGAAATTTCCAAACATTGCAAACCATCTAAAAGAACATTTTGGAATTGAGTTTGGGAGAAGTGTCTGTCGCCTATCCGTTGACAGATCCTGCCTGGGGACGCACGCCACCCTTCCCCTTCCCCACGACGGTCTGTCATGGGGGGGGGGGGGTGAGCATATATATATATATATATATGTATATATATATATATATAGACGGGACTTAAAAAGGATTCGGGCTGCTCGCTCAACGTCCCTTTCACCCCTACGCCCTGCATCAGCAAGGTCCGTCCTGCAGCGTGCAAAGGCAGCCTCGCAGGCACTCCTTGGAGTACCAATCGCGAAGCGGCTATTCGCATGACACGGGACGATCTTGGTTGTGTTAAATCGGGATTTGCATCTGGTCCTGTCGAACCCCTGTATATATATATATATATGTATATATATATATATATACATATATATATATATATATATATGCGTACATACATATACATATATACACATAATTATTCACAAAGTGACTAATTACATATAAATATACACACAAATGGATGTATAGGGTTGTTTACATGCATTACATGTAAATATGTATATATATATATATACATACATGCACACGTATACATGTTTTCTGTATCTACGTAGATACAGCGAGGTATGGATACGTATACGCACATATATATATATAGGTAGATAGATAGATAGATAGATGTTTCCAGCGTTCCAGGACGATGAAGCTCGTTTAGCATGAAAATACACGCGAAGCCAGACCAAACCAAGCCGTGTTAGAATCAGAACTCTGGAAAACCCTGTCCAAGAAGACCCGATGCAGCCCTAGACCTACGTTGCACAAGGGACTGTTTATACAGGAGTACACATTTAAACATTCTCATACTTGCACGTGCTCATTGTATGTCATTCGTAGGTAGAATTAAAAACATGGCAACTCTCTTAACACGTAGATGTAGACATACGTAGTCAAACGGTTAATTGAGGCTGCAAGTGCATCAATTCCTGCTGGCTGAGGCTCCCATGTTGCAGTCTGTAAGCGTGGAGGTTTGAACGTCAAGAAGTGCATGTAGCTGGAGAGATGCTTCGTGACGGCTCAGTGTCTACCCGTGCGACGATAGTTCTAGGGGCAACGCAATGGTCCATCATGTCCCAGTGGCTGGCACTCTTCCATGAGGTCCCGGAGACGGTTGCACCGATGCGTCTGCTCGCGGCAATCCACCAGGAAGGAATTGCCTGCCATAAATGTAAACCCGGCAGAACGTTGTTCATGAATCATACACTAGCCACATGGCAATCGCACCAAGCCTGCAACCGCAATAAGTCTACAAATCCGTTGGAGGGTCTGGCACCACTGAGGCACCGACGCATTGATTTAAAAGCTCCCTCGCACCTCAGCCAGCGAAGGCACGCTTGTATGTTCACACTACCTCTGCCGCGACGGCAGCCACTGCGGCAACGACGACGGCTAAGACCGGTACTAGTACTACAGCCACTGCCGGCGCTGCTCTCGTTTGTGATTTTGGTGTTGATGCTGACGCAGCAGACGCTGCTGTACTCTTGTCGGCGTCGTGTTCATCATAGTCATTTGTCCTCAAGGCAGCATCTCCTACTTATCCAGCAACATCGCCGACGCCGGTGACGCAAAGTCATCTAACCTATCACATTTCTTGTCAGAGTCATACTACCTTCTCCACTGGTAAATGCAAGCAATGCATTCATCATGGTGCATGTTGAACCCCACGGCTGCCATATGAACAACAGGCGCAGCTCTGGTTATAACCAGCAGCAGTAACATTGCTATTCTGAATGCTGTTACTGCTATTTCCATGCTTCTGCAAGCCTTGCGGTGCATGTGACCAAAATCACACACCTTTTTGCGAGTGCCTGAACTTGACACTATCTATTTGCCACATTGTTGCTGCGAGCACGTGGCAATCAAAACTCGCCAAGTTGCATGACTCTGGTAGCCTGGCAGCTTTCGGCATCTATCTCCTTCGCCTCCACGTGGGGGAGCAGAGATTGGACTCAAGCTACACTTCTGCGAAGACATGTCCACCTTTCTTGATGCACGGTTTGGGTCCAAATGTAAGGTTACTCCCAAGTCATACTGGGTCGGAGGACTTCAAGCAAAATGGAGAAGCATCATCGAAGCGAAATCCCAACACTAATGCAGCTGTGGTCTCCTTCAGAAGTCTTCGTGCTGAGCGGCGAGCCTTGTCTGCGAGGTGATGCTGGCAACAGAAAACCGTGTATGTTTGTGGCACGATGCGGGACTTCCTGGCTTTATGGGTTGGTTGGCTGGCTGGCGGAGAGAAGGCAACACTTCAGAGTTTGTTTATGAAGACTGTTCAATCAAGGCACATCAGGGTTTAGGGCTTTCGTTCTGTCTTCAAACGTATGTCACCTGTACGAACATGTGAGGAACTTTCATCGCAAGAGGTCTGGAATCGAAGGCCCTGAACTCCGCTTCTGGTCTCGGAAACTGTAGCACTTTGGATGATTCCGCCCCTGCAAACTTAGAGAAGCTCTGTGTTGAAGGTTCAGCGGTTTAAGTTTTCTCGGGCATGGGAGCCGCTTGTTGCGCTTGGCTTCGTGTCATGCCCCCCTAGCGAAGACACTCACAACCACTACACAGGCAAGTAGACGATCTCAATCCGTCCTAGGAAGCTACGAGTAGCAGCGTAAGGGTAGATTAGTGGTGGAGGGACCTGGGGGCCAACTTCGAGGGGCTCTGTTGATACCTCCTGTTGTCTGAGTGGCACTTGCCAGTGCAAGTGCCTCCACTTTAGACGCCCTGCAATGAAACAAAACACGTTGCTTCCTTGCGAGATTCGAGTCCGTCGAGTCCGACGACGTGGCAAACGGAAGAACGGATGCTTGCCGCCAATGCCAACATCGAACACAGTAACCCAAGCCCTCATACTGAAACTCCCTCTGCCCTAAACCCTAAACCTTTCTCGCCTTCAGGCCTTCCTCGAAGACCTCGAGTGGCACGCCTGGCGACTGCTTGGGGTGAGAGAGACACAGGCTTACGACCGCCATCACTACCATCACCACGGCGCGACTGCAACGACTACTCCCCCAGCATGTGCAAAACACAGAGTGCGTGGCGCAACGATTTGCGCGATCTTCATAGCCCGATCTTTGGTTCACTGCATAATAACACTCGGTGCCTGCCACCACGAAGCCCTCCTCTGAGAAGTCAGGCGGCTCGGGAGACATCGCTTGGTTTCGTTGGAGTCTGAGGTTGCAGTCCCCCTGTCAGCTCAATACGGGGCAACATCTCTCCCGGCTCCTTTCGGGTGCGGTCACTTCGAGGAATGGTTTGTGCATGTCGCCCTGCACGACTTAGATCCTTTTGTACTGGTTCAGGAATGTTCATGACCTAGCTATGGAACTGGCCAGTGAATGCAGCCGGGTCCATGCACAAGTCTAGGTTGGCACTTAATGAGCTAGGCAAGAAGAACTGTGCTCAACATGGCTCATATTGTCAAAGCCCTTAACAAGGGTGGGCGGTTAATCAGAGAGCTACAATATGGGAGATTCCGAAAATAGGCGACCCCAATGTAATACCCTAAATAGTAGGATCCTTATTATAAGGGCCCCAAATAAGGCATCCCGAATTTTCGGAAACCCCCATATGCTACTAGGCATCTGATCCCTGCGGCAACTGCAGAGCCAAAGCAGCTGCCAGCAGCACAAATACATGCGAACCGGGCAAAGACGGCAACAGTTGTTCTGGCTAAATCCTCATTCATGCGTGGATATGTATATACAGACACATATGCATATTCATATGTATACACAAATGCATGCATGCGTACACGCACCAGTTTGCTTACCCCTTATGCCCAACCAGCTAGTGTATATCAGCTTGTACTTGAAAGTTTCCGTGGGTCGGGTCAGGCCAGCCTGTCCCGGGCCAGGGCTCACTCGGTGAAGCGGGGACCTCAAGTCTCAGGGTTGAGGATTCATGGTATAGCAAAACGTCCAAGTAATAGCATAGTATGCATATATATATATATATATATATATATAGATGTATGGCCCTAATATCTACTAAGTAGCTAATATATAGGTATACTTGGACCCTTGAAAAAAGCGAGTGGCAGAAGGTCAACAGTCAAGTGATCTAGATGGCTCTATACAGGGTTTCTCTTGAGGGTTCGGTAACGATTCTTTGGTGGCTATGTGACGTACGAGGGATATATATATATATATATATATATATATGTATGTATGCATGTGCATACGTGCGTATGTATGTAAGTATGTCTGTGTGTACATATACATATATATATATATATTTATATGTCATCATCTGGACCCAACCAACTTTCCTACACCCACACATGAACCCTCATGCAGGAAGGCGGCTGATTAGGTGGCACCAGGTGCCGAAACAAATAGGGAGAAAGATGGTGAGAGCTTTGCAGCGACGGACGAGGTGCATAGAGCTCGGGGGTCCAGGGTCAAGGCTCTGAGTATGGTGTTGTTGAGGCAATGTCACTTTGCCCCAGGCGCTTACGGCTGTCAAACTTGTGTTTCAACTGACATGCTTCTGTAGGTCACTAGGTGGTGCACTGATTATGCTTTGTTTAGCGTGTCGTGGGATGTCTGCTTCTCGAATGCAACTCTACGCAACAGCAGTATTCAGACCTTCCGTCTAAGCTCATCGCACGACCCGTGCTGCAATAATCGGTGTCGATGCCTGGCATCTGCAAGTGCCGCTGACATGCAAGTTCCGGCTCTCAACTTGCTCGTGCATCATCCTGTCTTCCAGCTGACCGTTCATTGCACCCCTGCAACTAACAGTCTTTCATCAAGCTTCATCTAGCTATAGCAGCTATGTGCGGAAGGAGTATGTGCCTGCATTGCTGCTGGAACAGTCGGAAGCATTGGCGGCGCAACCTCAACATCCATGCGGGTCCATGTCATGCGACTTGGCAACTTGGTGACATGTGACATGTGCATCCTCACGCCCGAGCTTCGTGCCACGAAACGGCGATACGCTGTCTGACTGGGGCTTGCAGCCTCGAGCGAACTCTCAAGCAATCATAAGAAGACGAGCAAGAGCAAGGACTTTTGAAAGTAACATCTTCCTGCGCTGGCGGTTGCAAGAACACTCTATACCACTGATGTCTGTGTATGTGCATATATAAATACACCTGCTATACTCTATGTGTATATGTGTGTGTGTTGTGTTTTAAAATGTACATATACATACATATATATATATATATGTATATGTATACACGTGCATACCTACACACATACAGATCACATCCGCTGCAAACAACAGTCGGTGGCCTTCGGCCCTGCCGGTGGCGGCTGCGTCGGCGTCTGGGAGCCCACCGAAGGCTGCACCGGCATCTCAGCAGCCGCGGCAGGCCCCTGAAGGTTTCCGCTTTTTTGGGAAGCTCATTTTCCCACCCTTCCTGCCCTCCGCTTTTATCTTGAAGGCTCTTGTCCTCCTACCAGCCCCTTCAGGGTTTGGGTCACAGTTTCCAAGCGGCCTGCTGGAGAGGTGACCCTCGCTGGCATAGGATACTTGGTAGCCGGCGAACTACCCTGAAACCTAAAACCTTTCAAGTCCATGAAACTTTTACATTGGCCTGGTCCGGCACGCTGGGTCCGTCGGGTGCTGGTGACGGCCGCACAGCTTGGACGAGGACAGGCTCGGTGGCATCTGCGCGGCAGGTGTGGCTTCCAAAGGCAGGCTTCTTCAAAACCAGGTGCAACTCGCCAGCAACTCGAGGCCACCATCTTGTAACTACTACTAATACTACTACTAATACTACTACTACTACTACTACTACTACTACTACTACTACTACTACTACTACGACTAGGTACTACGGCCGGCTGCCTGGGACCTGTGTGGGGTCCCATGAAGTGACATTCCCGTCATCGCATCTTTGCGAAACGACCCCGCAAACTGCAGCACACAAGGCAAGAGAGCCAACAACCATAGGCCCAGCCCCCCTTTAACAGTTCTTTTGCACAGACTTGTACATGCCCCTCTTAACCCTAAACCCTACAGACTTGTCCATGACCCCCCCGACCCTGAACCCTCAGCCCTAAGCCCAACAAAGCAGCGCGGCAGGAATTCAAGAAAGAGCCCAAAGCCCGAGCCCACCTTGCACCAGGATCGACTCCTCCAACGGAACTGCTACCGGGACTTCCAGACACATTCTTAGTCTTCTTATTCACTACTCGTCCGCTTCTTATTATTCTCAATGTTACTATTGTAGCACGATTGCTATTATTGTTGTATCACATTTATTCCTCTTCTTCTTTATGCACCAATTCTTAGCCGTTCTGGTATGTTAGGACATACTCTTCTGCAGTTTTAAAGATTACTCTCTCTCTCTCTCTCTCTCGCTCTGTCGCGCTCTCTTGCTCTCCAGTAATAATTCTTATTGTATACCAATATGACCGTATCTTCTTTGGGGTTTTCGAAAATGGGGGCCCCTTGTTTAGCAGCACCCTAAATAGTAGGAGCCGTATTTTTCAGTACCCCAAAATAAGGTAGCCCTAATTTTCGGAAACCCCCCATATTTACACAGAACAGGGAAACTCGAAAAGAGAAGGGAACAAGTGTGTGGGACGAGGCCACAGTGCTTTCACGGAGCGGCTTGGGGCTTATAGGGGCTCCCAGGCGAAATGTAGAAGATCGTGGACGCCTGCTATGACTTGCAGACATTCAGCCCCCAGGTAATACCAGTCTGGGCTCGTCAAAGCCGCAGGTGCGACGCGGAGGGCTGCGAAGTCAGCAGCGCCGCTTCCGAAGAGACTCTATGCAAACACGATATTAACAAAATCACATAATCCTCTGACGCTATCTCCGAGGACAGTGTACCCTCATAGCACAACAGCCTCTTAACAAATAGAATCCCTCAACCGCGAAGGCATGCCGCATGCTGCCTGCCCTCTCCGCTCATCATCCTTCGACAACCTGCTGGGGGCGTCGACAGGTGCTTGTGGGACTTGTCAACATCTGAAACAACACGAACATTCAAAGATTCTAAGCACTTCACACAGTGACCTGAATGGCTCCCGTCGCAGTGTGCTGCATCAGCTGTTCTCGGAGCCCCGGATAAAAACGATCAACAGCAAGGGCACAAATATGCACAAAGCAAATCACAACCTTGAACAGACCAGAGCCAGGAAAAGCACACACATGAAGCATCAAGGCCTGAAGTGCATCGTGTGGACCGACCCATATATATATATATATATATATATATATAATAGAGACTTGTAGTATCGTTGTAGCATCGGCAGCAGCAGACGCAGCTGCAAAGGTAGGAGGAAGGCCGTCCAGCTGTGGCCAACTGATGTTCGTCATGTTATTCCTCGTCGTTGCCGACGACTTCCAGTCTGATTGGCGAAACACAACGCGGTAGCCTTTAGAAGCTGCCCCACCCTGTAATTGTGAATATAGGGATTATATTAGGGCCCTAATATATTCCTATTATACCACTATTACAGGGTGGGGGCAGCTTCTAAGGTAGCCTCATTAAGTTGAACACTTCGAGTAATGCTGTTTCCGAAAGTTATTCGACATACTGTTTCGAAACAGTAACACCGAAACAACACTCAATTTTATTGTCGCTCCTACCTTGGGGACCCGTCGTTGTAAACGACTCTAGCTCAGGCAGTCGCGTTGCTGGTTTAGACGACGAACCTAACAACAACCGAGCCTTATGCTTGAATAAATAAATGGTACTGCTCATTCGAAGATCTAATTTTGATTGTCTCGTAACACTGTAGAGTACGATCTCGAATTTCCCGGGACGCTCCCATAAGTCATTTCGGAATATTGCCACACTGATATTCTCATTACAAGCCATGCGGCATCTGAATTGCCGTGAGGATTGCACTCCGTGCTTTGTCGTGGCGCGGCCTCAGAAACCGCCAGCATGCGATCCCCTACCCTCCCCTCTGTCCCTGCGCATCTCAGAACCTCCAACCATTCCAACCTCAACAGGAGGACCTCGCACCCCAAATCTATGAAGCATTCGCATCAACAGTTACGACGATGGTACCACAGATACTGCTGCTACTATTAACTATTAGTGCTGCTAGCACTGTCAAGCTGCCGAACGGAAAAGAACCTTCAAGTCAGCCATCTAGGCCGTGAGTGGACTTCGGCTGGGTCCGAACCTGTGAGCTCCTTTTCCGGTGGGCAGGCCCCTCCAAAGAGCTTCCGTAGACCG